CCAAGATCAAGTCACAATCTTGATCGCTGGCTGAGCGACCGGAGGGACAGTGATCTTGACTGTACCGTGCCCGTGAGTGGGAACAGAAACAATTTTGAAGGTACCATTTGTGGTACTGTGACGTAACTGTTTATTTGAATCAACCTTAAACGTAAAACACTTATTTTATGTATATATAATGTAAAACTGTACAAAATTTATGAAAAAAAATTCAATAATAATCGTTCCGACGATATAACTACATTATTAGACCAAAACTGTAACATAAACAACATTGTAAATTACCTTAAAGAAAGTCACCTTTTTCATCGATTAAAAATTAAGTAATTATACCTTAATGTAACATGTCGGTAATAACCCTTACTAGTTGATGTGACTAATATTAAATAAAAAAATATATAATAGATTACGAGTAACATTTTTAGTCTGCTTAGTAATTTGGCCGGCGAATACAAGTAGCGATTTAAAAAATTGATGATACGCCCCTCTAATGAAACGTAAACAATATAAATCAAACTAAAAGCAAAACCAAAACTATATTATTATTTATGTGCTGTAACTTGTTGCTTTAACCTTTCATAATACAGATAGTTAAAATTTTAAAATTAAATCACTTTCACTACATGATATACGCCGATTATGTCAAACTTGTGCAGAGACGCTTTTACCTTTCAGGCAATTATTCCTTCTACCTTTAAAAATAAATTTACTGTAAAATTTCTAGCATAATTACAAAATCCTGATAAATAGGAAGTATTTTTCCTAGCGATCAATTCGAGTAATTTGAAAGCATATTGGTATGTATCTACGTCAAAACCCTCTTCCAACGTAAACAAAGGTTACAAAAAAGCATATGCAGCAGGGGAGATGTATTGATAAAGTTGAATAGGTTCATAGGGACGTGGATGTTTATGAAAAACCTTCTTTGTATACCAACATCTCTGATGTTTGTTATTAAAGAGACGGTCTTCTCTTTTGCTGAAATTATAGCTTTTGTTGAGATGAGTGCCTTTGCTGTGGTTGTGAAAAAATATACAAACATTTAATAAGTATGCATCTATAGCGCGTTCGCTGTATAGGGCATTGTGTGTTTATATCGTTTTAATAGACTATAGAGGAATACTCTTTTTGCAGTTTATGAATTTTTTGCAATCGATAAAATTAATATAGTTATAAAAGGGGATGAGGGTTTTACAAACTATTTATTCGCATACAATAATTTATTTTAACAGGTATTTGATTGAAAATAAAAAATACTATATTTTCTATATGATGATAAATATTATCCAAATAATGAAAAACGTATCACATAAACATTGAATGAATTGAGTTCCTCATACACAATAAATTAATGAAAAAATTCTGATGTCAGATAGGTAGATCTTTAGAATATGTTTTAGTAGAAGGTGGTTAAGACAAGTACAAGACCTACTTGTCTGACTGATGTGATGTGCCTTACGAGGCAAGAAGAAAAATAAGTTACAATAGCACAATATGGTGTATAATGAGTGATACATCAGAGATGTTACCAAAATCATCAACAACAAATTTTACAAACAATAGAAAAGGAAATCAAGCAACGAATCAACTAGAGATTAACTACTAACTAACACTCTTTGGTATGTAAGTGTAAGTAGTATATGGAATTTGTATGGTATTGCTATTATTGCCCAGTTTCCACTATGCTGGTATTTTAGTCTAGTAGCAAATAATTTGTGAAAGTTTTTTTATAATTAAAATATTAAGTTATTTTTAATTTCTTGACCCCTGTTGCTGAGACGCCGATGGTCGTATTTGCAAATAATATATACGAATTTACTTATTAAAAGACGGTTTAGGTAATCCCCGGTTAATTATTTTCGGTTTAAGGCGGGTTTCTGTTTGATACTTTGACAAACAATATCGCCGAACGCACGTTTATAATAATTTTCTGAGAGAGTCTAATCCAAAATATTGAATATCTCCTCAAGGTCCAAGCTAGATGGGTACCGTTATTTTCGATGTCGTTAGAGCCGTTTACCTTCTTAAAAATGAATACAGCCTGGTCTGTCATTTTTAAGTGGGGGATATTCAATCTTTTTTGGGGGAAGTTTGTGAAATTTTGAGAGAAAAATATTACTTTTGGCCGAGCTGTCTCTGAGCAAGGACTTCTAGTCGGACGATCTTTGAGTAAAGACCCTCGATTATTTCACCGTTCTCTGTGCATTTTTTCTCTAAGTGTGTATACACTTAAATGTTTTTTAATCTGATACTATATTGGATTAAATATTGGTATAAACTACCTTTAGTTTAATTAACTTCAGTACTTAATACAAGTATTATAGTAGAAGCAGTGAAATAGTAAAGCAGTCATCGAGATTTATCGTAAGTTATCGAATCATATTACCTTCAATGATCTGAGCGAATAATATGGTAATCATATTATGTTAAACTATCTGGGCGAATCTACGTTTAACCATTTCTTTACCTTTAGTTAAGGTTAACTATCGATTTCACAAGTGATTTAAAAAAATATTAAATATTTTTATCTGAACTTTCATCAGCTATTAAGAACTTCTAAATTACGAATATTTAATTCCCAGTAAGAACAGTCAACCATTAAACAACAGTGCGAACATATAATTAACATAACCAAGTGCGCGTAACAACAGTGCGAACATTTAATTAACATAACCAAGTGCGCGTTGGTTTAATTTTTATTCCTGTAATATTTTCGCATTCTTTGAATTTAACTTTGATTAACTTTGAGTTATTTGTTATTCATTTTTTTTTATTTAATGTTTAATTTTTATTGAATGTACCCGTTATCTCGAGATAAGCCACAAACAGCAAAGAGAGACTCCTTCGATCAGTTTCGCTGATAACTTTATTTGTTCATGACTTTATTATATTATATTGTATTTGTAAAGGTATTTATTATTCATAATAATGGTTATTTTTATATGTACACCACCATTTAATAATTCATAGTGCATTTCTTTTACTTGTATTTACATTCAGGTTTAAAATCCTCAGTTTTATCCAAATTTATTTGTGTTTTTGAATATATTATTTTGTTTTATCGATGAATTTTAATTTCTCGACTACTAACAAGTTTCCTGATATAAGAATACCTCTGAATATTTGCTTTTTAACTTCATATATTACTATACCTTTGACCAGCAGAAAGATCAGGCTGATTTAGTTTCGTAGATAAGTAGGTGGACGGAGTCCACCTAATATATTTATTATTTGTGTAGGTAGTGTGTTGACCAAATTTATTTAATAATTAACTGTTGATATTTTTTCTTGGATTTGGTCTCAGATCCTAAATATCTTTCCTTATCTCTTTTCGTTTCTAGGGTTTCTTAATTTTCCCCTTAACCCCAAAAAGTTAAGTGGCGCCCTTTTTCTATCTTATCTTTGGTAATTTTACCCATCTATCTTTTTGTTTATTTCTGTATATTATCTAATATATCTTATTCTGTCCTATCTTTACTTATTTCGTCCGTGGGACCTATTCCCGGGTCCAGAAGCTAGTTTCGAACCCACGACTCGCTCTCCACTCACCATCTGGCTTCCGGCCGCAGTGTCTCCATTCGTGATCTTTCTAGCTCCATCCAAAAAAGGTTTCCGAGGTTACAAATTTAGTATATATATATATATATATATATATATATATATATATCTCGGTTTTAGAACGTCTTTCGACGTTGTCCGATGCCTAACTTCCACGTCCTTCTATCATCCCATTGGCCGTCTCTAAGATCTCTTGTACTCATTGCTTTAGTTACCCCTTCTTTCCATGTCTTTTTGGGTCTTCCTCGTTTTTTGCGGTTTGGTGGTACCCACTGCATAATCTTCTTGGGTAGTCTTGTGTCTTCCATTCTTTGAACATGCCCATACCAAATCAACTGTTTCCTCTCAATGTCTGTTGTTAAGTAACCATCTATTCCAATTCTTCGTCTTACTTCCTCATTTCGAACTCTTTCTCTGCGGGATATACCTAACGATCTTCTAAACACATCCATTTCTACAGCTTCTAATTTTTTTCTGTTGTTCTCGGTTATTCTCCAAGTTTCTGCTCCATAAAGTAGAGTGCTTTTAATTAGTGACTCATATGTTATATTTTCGCTTTATTCCTATTTCAGAGCTCCAAAGTATTCCATTTAGGCAGCCAATTGTTCTTCTAGCTTGTGTAATCCTTTTCTTTATTTCCTCGTTGTTGGTATACAAAGAAGGTTTTTTCATAAACATCCACGTCCCTATGAACCTATTCAACTTTATCAATACATCTCCCCTGCTGATATATGCTTTTTTGTAACCTTTGTTTACGTTGGAAGAGGGTTTTGACGTAGATACATACCAATATGCTTTCAAATTACTCGAATTGATCGCTAGGAAAGATACTTCCTATTTATCAGGATTTTGTAATTATGCTAGAAATTTTACAGTAAATTTATTTTTAAAGGTAGAAGGAATAATTGCCTGAAAGGTAAAAGCGTCTCTGCACAAGTTTGACATAATCGGCGTATATCATGTAGTAAAAGTGATTTGATTTTAAAATTTTAACTATCTGTATTATGAAAGGTTAAAGCAACAAGTTACAGCACATAAATACTAATATAGTTTTGGTTTTGCTTTCAGTTTGATTTATATTGTTTACGTTTCATTAGAGGGGCGTATCATCAATTTTTTAAATCGCTACTTGTATTCGCCGGCCAAATTACTAAGCAGACTAAAAATGTTACTCGTAATCTATTATATATTTTTTTTATTTAATATTAGTCACATCAACTAAAAAGGGTTATTACTGACATGTTACATTAAGGTATAATTACTTAATTTTTAATCGATGAAAAAGGTGACTTTCTTTAAGGTAATTTAAAATGTTGTTTATGTTACAGTTTTGGTCTAATAATGTAGTTATATCGTCGGAACGATTATTATTGAATTTTTTTTTCATAAATTTTGTACAGTTTTACCTTATATATACATAAAATAAGTGTTTTACGTTTAAGGTTGATTCAAATAAACAGTTACGTCACAGTACCACGGATGGTACCTTCAAAATTGCTTCTGTTCCCACTCACGGGCACGGTACATTCAAGATCACTGTCCCTCCAGTCGCTCAGCCAGCGATCAAGACTGTGACTTGATCTTGATTGGACCGGACTGCCGTGTTCGTGTGAAAGTGTGAATAGGACACAGTCAGTCAGCCACCTATTTTCAGTTGTTGTATCATATTTTCGTCAATTATTGTTTCGTGTCTTTTGTTAAACAATGGAGGACAAACAATTAGTTCAGTCCGTTTGTAAAGAAAGATTCTATGATTTATCATATCCATTATGCTCTGATATTCAGCGAAAATTAAACACATTGCAGGAAATATTAATATGTATATACAGAGTAACCTTGAGTCTGGAGGACTTCATAAGGACTGTGAAGAACGACATTTTTAATGAGCAACCACATCACATGATGAAAAAGTACAATTTTAGGGATTCCTCTAGGATGCTTATTCCAGACAGCAATGTATGGAGAAACATGAAACACCATAATCAACAGGGTAAGATTGGTATACCTACATATGGATCAAAAACTACAGTGCGTGTGGAGGCAGGAATATACTTTAATATTCCAAGAATCAGTGAAAGTTTTACCTTAAGGAGGAACTTCACCGTTTTTCAAAAAACAATATTAAAAGAGCTTTTGAAAATAAGCAAATCCAGATATTTCCTGAGTCAAGCGGTACTGAAGGCACTGGCGTGTCAGGAAGTGACGTCTAGGCTGGTGTGGGACTACATCAAAGAACTAAATGAACTGGAAGACCGGCACAATATTGAGCTTGTCTGGGTACCAGGACATAAGGGCATCGAACCCAATGAAGAAGCAGATCAACGTGAAAAAAAAAGGAATCTAACGAATCACACGAACCGGCTGTAACTCTGGGAATACCAAAGGAGGCAGTTTGTAGGGCTATAGAAAACTGGATAAAAGTGTGTCCTAAGCGATATTGGGAGAGCATCCTAAAACAAACACATTGAAAGATCTTTATTGGTGGACCATGTAGAAAAAGAACAGAGGAACTCCTTCACGTGGCAAGAACAAACTGAAAACAGTAACAGGAATATTGACAGGGCATACACCAGTAAGAGAATTCCTGAATAAAATAGGCATTTGTAATGAAGAGCTTACTGCAGACTCTATTGTAAGGAACCAGAAACAGTACAATATATATTATGCGACTGTGAGGCGCTAAACCGTAAAAGACAAAAACTGCGATAAGTAACTAAGAGGGGACTCTGGTATATTAAGGACACACCAAGCAGAATACCTGTACAATCTTCTACAGGGTTACAAAACGAATTTTGTCAACTTGTAACCTTTATATAACGTATTGCATCAATTATTCACAATAAATTTCTCAATAATTTATGTCTGTACATATTCATTTGTCTGAATCTGTACAGACATCAGGAGTCAATTTTTTGTAAGATAATAATTATTGTTGAAAGTACTTGCTAAATAGTTAGTTTTACTAAGATGTGGAGCTGGAAGGACAAATAATAGAACAAGTGATGGAGTATAATTATCTAGGCATTACATTATCTAACTACAGAAAGCTCGAAACTGAAGTGGAAGATCAAGTGAATAGAGTAAACAGAGCCGCAGGTTGCATGAATAAAACAATATGGAGAAATAACAATATCGGGAATGAAACAAAGGCAGAATTTACAAAACAGTCATCAGACCGATAATGACATACGCGTCAGAAGCACAACCTGACACACAGATGACAAAAATGATGTTAGAAACAGCAGAGATGAAAACACTTGAAAAAATTGATGGTAAGACACTATGATACACAGCTATAAGTACAGATATACGACGGCGACGTATATGCAAGATGAAGAACATTAATAACTGGGTAATTAATAGAAGAGCAGAATGAAATGATCATACTAGCAGAATCACAACAGTAGTAGTAGTAAAGTCAGCAAGTGATGCTTCCCCAATAGAAAGACGATCAGTAGGAAGATCACGAAAACGATGAAATACCTCACTATAGTCACATTGAAAAAGAGAGTCATGTCTACATGAAAAGAAGAATTAGAACTTTCTGTGTTAGCAAAACTCAATTGTACACTATACATTTGAAAATAGGTTGCTGTAACATTTGTTTATGGCAAATTATATATATATATATATACATATATATATATATATATATATATATATATATATATTATATATATATATATATATATATATATATATATATATATATATATATATATATAACGGTATTTGGGGCGGCACGCCCTTCTGGTAGGGATCTATGGAGGAGTATCACCGAGCCGTAAGCCCTTATCTCTTGCCGTACTGCTCCATCATTGGCCGATCAGAGACACCCGCATATTCTAGTCTAAGCCAATGATTCATCTAGAATTCTAAACTACTGCGTTAGCCTTTTTATTTTTCTGTACACCGAGCTGGGGATCGAACCCACATCCACTCAACCATTTGCAGTGAAGCGAATGAGAACTGGCCGCCCAGCCTGCTTGGCTATCTGACCGATCAAGATCAAGATGTTTATAACTGCTGATAATTCATGTAGTAATGAATATGTTTGTTTGAAAATTGGAAAATGTCAATTGGACTTACAATAGTTATACTACCATTTAATATATACATTAGGTCTGTGACGACATTATATAAAAATAAAATTTAATGCATCATGGGAATGAAGATGAGATCAGCCGAAAGGCTTTTTTATCCATCTGTTTTTTTATCCAACAAATTGAACTGTTTACCACAATGATGGTATTAAGGTTCATAAATATGCTAAATTTTCAATTTAATAGGGCCATCTTTAAATTAACCTAAAACTAGCATATTTTATAGTTTTTACAAATTCACAAGAAAAGCAAGTTATCCTCGTAATAGTAGCAGCTAATGCCATTTCTTGAGTTCTCTCTCTAACAATTTCATTATAGTTTTAAAACAGAATTTTTAAATATCGTGAGTTTCATACATGAGTAAAAATGCCTTTCCCATTTATATCTAATGAATACGTAGATATGGTGTTGATTTATATTAAATGTAGGAAAAATACTCGAAATGCTCTAGTGTTATATACGCAACACTTTCCCGAAAGAAGAACACTTCCGTAACTTTTGCTATGGTTGATGAGAAGATTTATTCCGAACGGTAAACATAGAGATTATGTCAAACCAATACAGACCAAACAAAATTTGGTGAATGTTTTAGAATATGTCCATTGCTGCAGAAACTGCAATATCTTCAACAACTGTTCAAAGGATTCTAAAAAACCATTAACATCCATTTAAACTGTGTTTGGTTCATGAATTGTTACCCTTCCATTTGGATCGAAGACTAACCTTCATCACCATAATGCAAGAGATGCAAGCCATTCACGACTTTTTACCTGGAATTTTGTGAAATGATACAGCTCGTTCTCATTATAATGGGAAAATTTGCGTTGGTTAAGGGAGACTTGCTTTTAAGCTATGTGAGACATTGTTGTTTGGTGTAGGTTATATAATGGGCGTTTAATAGGTCTCAATTTTTTTGAAGAATATTTGAATTGTCAGAGATATTTGAATTTTCTGAAAAACGAGCTACCTTTGTTACTAGAGAATATTCCTTTAGGACAAAGAGGAGTTTTAGGATGTCAACAATTGTATAGGTATTGTAATCAATTAAGTTAATGCCACATTTTCAAAAAGATCGATTGGAACTAAAAGACCCATTTGATGGCTTCGAAAATTGCCTATTCTATCACCATTAAATTTTTTGTATAGGGCCATTAAAAAAATCGTTTATAACGAAGAACATTTTGAACAGTTGATTATTGTTTAAATTAAACAATAAATTAAAAATTAAGAGTACTTATTTATATTAATACTTCCATTGTGGTCATGTGGAAATGTGTAAAAATTATATTAAAGACGCAGCAAATAACATTCAAGAGTCGCAAAGACCACCACCACGCAATGAGTGGTTCGATACTGAGTGCGAGAACATTACAAGAAGAAAGAAAAATGCATATAAACTGATAAAACAAACAAGAACCCGAGAAAAAGAACAAAAATTAAAGAATTTAGAAGAAAAGAGAAGTACATCCATAGGAGAAAAAAGCGAACTGATGAAAATAGAATATTGGAAGATTTTGAGGCATTAAAAAAGGAAAATCAAACAAGAAAATTCTATAAAAATCTAAATAATACAAGAAAGAATTTAAACCAAGGATCAAACTATGTAATTATAAGGAGGGGCATATACTCAATAAGAAAGAAGAAGTATTGAAAAGGTGGGTGGAACACTCTAAAGAACTACTTACTATCGAAGTAGAAGATCCAAATCAATCACCCCCAGGAGCAAGCAACAATACACCATTGGAGCCTCCATCAATTCAAGAAGTGCGGGATGCAATAAATCACCTTAAAAAATAATAAATCTCCAAGAAGTGATTATTACCCGTGAAACTAAATAAATGTGGAGGTGCTACTCTGATTAGCCATATATATATATATATATATATATATAATATATATATATATATATATATATATATATATAATCACACTGAGAGCCTGGAATGAGGAACAAATCCCGGAAGAGTGGTGTATTGGGATCGTTTGCCCGCTACACAAAAAGGGTGATCAATTGGAATGTAGAAACTATAGGGAAATAACCCTCCTTAATACAGCATACAAAATATTTTCGAGTATTTTATATAGTCGCCTGAGTGCATATTCAGAGGAGCTTCTTGGCGAATATCAAAGTGGTTTTAGGCCTAGTCGATCAACAACAAACCAGATCTTTGTGCTAAGGAAAATACTCGAAAAAACCAATGAATTCAATATCGATACATCTCATCCTTTCGTAGATTTTAAATCGGCCTATGATAGTGTCCTAAGAACTAAATTTATGAAGCCATGGATAAATTCCACATCCCAATAAACTGATAAGATTGGTTAAGGCTACAATGCGTAAAGTTGTTTATAAATTCGAAATACAAGGGCGAACAATTACAGGCATTTGAAACCCATGTTGGGCTGCGACAGGGAAATGCACTGGAGTGTCTCCTTTTCAACATAGCTCTGGAAAAGGCGGCATGCGGCATCATCTG